ATGTATGAATATCACCACGTGGCAAGTCCGCTACCTCCGCTTCCGCTTCCCGATCCTGATCCCAATCCCCTCCGCCCGCCTCTGCCCACCTCCGCGGACCTTCGCCCACCTCCTCCCACCTTCGCTCCACCTCCGCCGACCTCCGCCGACCTCCGCCCACCTCCGTAGCACCTCCGCCGACCTCCGCCGACCACCGCCCACCTCTGTCGACCTCCTCTCGACCTCCACCGACCTCCGCCCACCTCTGCCGGCCTCCGCTCCACCTTCGCCGACCTCCGCCGACCTCCGCCGACCTTCGCCGACCTCCGCCGACCTCCGCTCCACCTCCACTCGCCTCCGCCGACCTCCGCCGACCTCTGTCTTCTCGGCTTTCAATCAATCGATCAATCAATTAATCAATCAAGCGATCATTGATTGATTGATTGATTGATTGATTGATTGATTGATTGAAATTAACAAAAAAACTTTTTGAAAAAAAATTGCTTCCGCCCCCGCTTGCGCCTCCACCTCCGCTTCCGCCACCCGCTTCCAATGAATCAATCAATGAATCAACCAATCAACCAATCAACTCCGGTTCATTGGTTGATTGATTGATGGATTGATTGTTTGAAAAAAAAAATAAAAAAAATTATTGCTATCGCGAACACGTGGGGACGGCACCTGACCCGACTCAATCAATCAATCAATCAATCAATCAATCAATCAATCAATCAATCAAGATTGGTTGATTGATTGATTGATTGATTGAAATTAACAAAAAAAACTTACAAAAAAAAAAACGCTTCCGCCCCCGCTTGCGCGCGCCACCTCCGCTTCCGCCACCCGCTTTCAATGAATCAATCAATGAATCAACCAATCAGCCAATCAACCAATCAACGAATCAACTTTGGTTCATTGGTTGATTGATTGATTGATTGATTGATTGAAAAAAAAAAAAAAAAAAGTTGCTGCTATCGCAAACACATGGGGACGGCACCCGACCCGACTCAATCAATCAATCAATCAATCAATCAATCAATCAATCAAGATTGGTTGATTGATTGATTGATTGATTGAAATTAACAAAAAAAACTTATAACCCCCCCCCCGCTTCCCCCCCCCGGTTCCACTTCTACCTCCGCTTCCGCCACCTCCCTCTTCCACCCCTGCTTCCAATCAATCAATCAATCAATCAACCAATCAACTTCGGTTTATTGATTGATTGATTGATTGATTGATTGAAAAAAAAATTACTGTGATCGTGAACACGTCAGGATGGCACCCGACGTGATTGATTGAAAAAATAAAATTATAATAAGAAAAAAAGAAAAAGGACGGGGGTTCCCCACCTCCGACATTCATCTGTCCCCCTGCGTTCGCACCTCTGTCTCCTCCGCTTTCAATCAATCGATCAACCAATCAATCAATCAAGCGATCATTGATTGATTAATTGATTGATTGAAATTAACAAAAAAACTATATAAAAAAAACCGCTTCCGCCCCCACTTGCGCTTCTACCTCTTCTTCCACCACCCACTTCCAATGAATCAAACGGTGCATCAACCAATCAACTTCGGTTCATTGGTTGATTGATTGATTGCTTGAAAAAAAGAAAAAAAAAAGTTACTGCTATCGCGAAAACATGGGGATGGCACTCGACCTGGCTCAATCAATCAATCAATCAATCAATCAATCAATCAATCAATCAATCAATCAATCAATTGATTGATTGATTGATTGATTGATTGATTGATTGATTGATTGATTGATTGATTGATTGATTGAAATTAAAAAAAAAAAAATATTAAAAAAAAAACGCTTTCGCCCACAGTTCCGCTTCCACCTCCGATTCCGCCACCTCCCCCTTCCACCCCCGCTTCCAATCAATCAATCAATCAATCAACCAATCAACTTCGGTTCATTGATTGATTGATTGAAAGATAAAAAAACAGTTGCCGCGATCGTGAACACGTCGAGACGGCACCCGACGTGATTGATTGATTGATTGATTGATTGATTGATTGATTGAAAAAATGAAATTATAATAAGAAAAAAAAGAAAAGGAAGGGGGCTCCCCACCTTCGACGTTCACCCGTCCCCCGGCGTTCGCACCTCTGTCTTATCCGCTCTCAATCAATCGATCAATCAAGCGATCATTGATTGATTGATTGATTGATTGAAATTAACAAAAAAAACTTATAAAAAACCCCGCTTCCGCCCCCGCTTGTGCTTCCGCCACCCGCTTCCAATGAATCAATCAATGAATCAACCAATCAACCAATCAACCAATCAACCAATCAACCAATCAACCAATCAACCAATCAACCAATCAACCAATCAACTTCGGTTCATTGGTTGATTGATTGATTGATTGCTTGAAAAAAAAAAAAAAAAGTTACTGCTATCGCGAACACGTGGGGACGGCACCCGACCCGACTCAATCAATCAATTAATCAATCAATCAATCAATCAATCAATCAATCAATCAATCAATCAATCAATCAATCAATCAAGATTGGTTGGCAATGATTAATTGATTGATTGATTGATTGAAATTAAAAAAAAAAAAAATCATAAAAAAAAAAACCGCTTCCTCTCCCGGTTCCGGCTCCGGTTCCGATTCCACCTCCGCTTCCACTATGTGCTTTACTGATTGATTGGGAGATTGAGAGAGAGTGTGAGAAAGAGAGAGAGAGCGAGAGAGAGAGAGAGAGAGAGAGAGAGAGAGAGAGAGAGAGAGAGAGAGAGAGAGAGAGAGAGAGAGAGAAAATAAGATAGAGAAAGAGAGAGGATAGAGTGGTGACCAAGATGCGACCAATCATATAACCATCGCTATGGCCGAGTTTCGCCAACACTCACACGCACATACGCGCACACTCTGCTCATCTACGATGTCCTTTCATACCCTCGTACAATCATTAATCGATTGATTGATTGATTGATTGATTGAGCGAGTAATCACTCAATTAACCAATCAATCAACACAAATACAAACATACACACAGACTTAATCAATCTGGCACACACGTGCAGCCACATACACACACACACACACGTGTCGATGTCGAAGTGAACATGGAAGGAACACCATCATCTTTGCATAGTATGAGCGGTCTGGCGCTGCACACAGGAAGAAAGTACAAGGCTGATCATACACGGATGAGGAGGAAGGGAATGAGACGAGGAGGAGGACGCAGATGAGAACGATATGAAAAAAATGTCGCGTCTATTTACATGTTGAGAAATCGAAATGTGACGAATCCCTCTCTCTCTCTCTCTCTCTCTCTCTCTATCTATCTATCTATCTATCTATCTATCTCTTTCTATCTATCTATCTATCTATCTATCTATCTATCTATCTATCTATCTATCTATCTATCTATCTATCTATCTCTTTGTCCGTGCGTGCGCACGTGTGCGCGTTGCGAGAAGAGTGAGAAAAAGAAGAAGAAGAAACAGAAGAAGAAGAAGAAGAAGAAAAAGAAGAAGAAGAAGAAGAAGAAGAGGAAGAAGAAGAAGAAGAAGAAGAAGAAGAGGAGTAGGAGGAGAATGATCTGAAAAAAATGTCGTGTCTATTTACATGTTGAGAAATCCAAATGTCACGAATCCTTCTTTTTTTTTCTCTTTCTCTCTCTCTCTCTCTCTCTCTCTCTCTCTCTCTCTCTCTCTCTCTCTCTCTCTCTCTCTCTCTCTCTCTCTCTC